CAGTGAACATACTCATCGTTTGGCGAAAAAATCACCTATAGCTATCACCTCTACAATAAAGGTCGAGAGTATGGTATCAAACCTTTTACGAATACGAGTCGACTGAAGCACATATTGACAAGTTGAAATTAAAGTAACAATAGATAGATAGCATAGATACTCGAATTGGTGGCTTAACCGTGTTGCGACTCAATCTGTGCTTTTTTTTTAAAATACAATCAGTGTAATTAGCAAAATTTCACAATGTCAACATCTATCAACTGTAACATACAAATACACAATGGAATTGTCGAAATTTCTATTTCTAAGACAGATTTAACGTTTCTCTTTTCGTCGGCCGGTCTACGCTAAGCATATTTGAACCGACCTTAGGGTACCCACGGTCTCGGACGTCCACTTACTTGGATCGGGGAGAGAATACTGAGCCTTGCCGTCTTTACATGACTCGTGTATGAAGCAGTAGATTTTAAAGATGCCAGCTCGTTGATTTAACTTGTGCGTAGTTTACGTCATCGGTTAATTAGCAAGGCACATAATCCCCCAAAGCCGACACTGATTTTTTTCCACTAGGAGAAAAATATGACGTTTTTCGGTTCTCTGTCACAGAAAAACAGCGGCTTCACGGCAGTCGTTAGGTAAGAAGCAAGACGCAGGACAAACTTTCGTGCCCATCTTATGTATATTTTAGCATTATACGAATGACACAGTATAAATGAAGTTTTACTAAATTTTGAGTAGTGACCATTAAAATTGAGCTATCGAAAAGGGAATAAAATAGCCAAAATGTATGTACGTACGAATATATACGTACATTTAAAGGATAATTCCAACTGAAACGAGGTGGTAACCTGAACGGCTAAGCTCGAACAGGCAGAAGTCGCTAATTCAAGCTTCGCCCTCGAGTGCTTGTAGCGTCAAACGAGAGTGACCTACTGCACTGGCTGTGTGATAAAACAAAGCAAGTTCCGACTATTTTTAATTCTGTGTTAAATGAGCTACAAGTAAAATGTATGGCTGTGTTAACGTTGATGGAAACAACAGTACCTACTGAATTTCTAGTAATCCGAACCTTAAAAATATTGCCCAATTTTTGTCTCAATTTCCCGTCAGCCAGCATTTTGTTAGATAGGTCGATCTTCGGTTTAAACAAACAGGTAGATAAGGCTACTGGGCAGTTAACTCACTTAAATCTACACTCACTCTGGAAAAAAAATACAAGTTTTACCGGACATTTTACCACGCTTATAAATCCGATCGATAAACTTTGAAGTTCCCAAACTTTTAGGAGCAGGTTTTAATATCTAACTTATCTTGTAGAAACGGCGAAGTCATTTGGGAAAAAAATCTGTTTAAATATTCTCGTTTTGTATATGTTTTTTTCTTTCTTTATTTCCTGTATAGTGTGCCAGTCGCGAAACTAGATCGTAGTAGATATTAGGGGACAGCATCGATTTGCTAACGTTCTGCTCCTCATGGTCTTTTAATTTAGACGATGTGGTGCCGGGTGTATAAACGAATCGCAAAAGCACGACGTTCCTACATGCATACATACACTTTTCCTCCTCTTTTTCCCGAATTCCAATAATGATATAAAGTATATAATAGTATAAATATAAACTTTGAGCTCGTGGTAATATTATATGTACACATTTTATTTACAGGGATAGAGAATAATAAACAATTGATCTGTTTGTAATTTACCAGCGCATCCCTTCTTATTTATTTACTTGTTTATTTTTTTTATTTAATTTTATTTTCCCGGCTGCCGTCTCCTGTTGATGACGCCTCTGCGTTCGGTGTAGCTTTTAACTGTTTGGTTTTAATACGTCGCATAATTTTCTTCTTTCATTTGCGCGTTACCAAAACGATCTTCTGCGTCTACCTAAAACGTTGCCGCGTCCCCAATCGAGAAAGTACTCTGTACTCCTAGCTCTTCCAAAACAAACCATCCCATCTTTGTCGGGAACGTCTACTTTACCTTTGTATCAGTTTTGCTCGCACTTTGTCGCTGTTTTTCCTAGTTAATGACAGCGGTACGCGCTCATGTCATGCGTTTTCCACATGTCCATTCCGTAGAATATTGTCTCACGACTTTTTGAAGAATCCTCTGAGCGATCCTTGTCGCCCGCTCGCCACCGTTATCAATATTTGCCAGCTAGATCGTGACGAGTACTGGTTTCGCGGCAAAAACCTGATACGATATATTCCCTAGATATCGATAACCCTTTATACTGCACTCTACGTATCGTCCCTGAAACAGCTTTCACGTATGCAACTGTCTACATTTACCTCACCGTTGGTCAGCCGTCCCTTTATGAGCAATGAAGTATGACATTTGCTGCTGCGGCTCTTACCACTCGCGCACTCACAAACATACACATAGACACACACTCAACTACACCTGTAAACGGACCGTTTTTCCGTCCGTTTGTTGCCAACAGTTTTTCTCCTTTTTTCCTTGCCTCATCAATTTACCAACACTCACTGATTTTGTCGTCTATTACTGAACTATCTAAATAATTGTTTTCACTCTCAGTTAGCAACGAGCGATGGTTTTTCATCATATAAGGCTGGCCACAGGACACCGTCTTGTGACCTTTTTACCTTCTGTGCCGACAACAGTACGTAAGACCAACTTCGTACTGCCCGGCTAGAGCTACAATCACTCAAACATCCAACCCCGGCCCGCCTGCCTTCGTACTGCTACTTTTCTTCGCCTTCAACTATATATATATAAGCCACCTGTATCACTCCTTTGTTTCTTCCGTACTCACTGAGCGATAACAATGAGCCTGAACTGTCTAACCGCCGGCTGCTTTGTTGTCCATAGATTTTTCTGGCCTGTTTCTTTCGTTTGTTCTACGTTTAGTCGAAAGAACACTTGAAATGTCTCCATCTCAGATCCCATAAGATAACATAATAACAATAATTACAGTAATAACCTCGAGCTGCAGCTGTTGATTAAAGCCGTTCGCACATTTTCTATTCTACAGTATCCAACTCCAGCCGAGCTGTGCGACCTAGCAAACCTATCTAGCCCGAACTAGGTCAATTTCAGATATACGCTTAGCAATATGTCATGTACATATCTCTCGTACTATTCGTAATGTTTGTGTCACTTTTTTCATGGAAGTTGTTTCATTTAATGGGACGCTGAGGCAGGGCCAGGCATACACAACTAGTCGTCATGAGCGCTACACCGAGCGTTCATGACAGATTTCATTGCTTTTACTGCATCATCATCATCGCAGATCAGCATCATTTCATACTCTCCCCCCCCTCTCTCTCTCTCTCTCTCTCTCTCTCTCTATATATATATATATATATATATATATATATATATGTATCTATCTTGATGGAATCTCCATAACATCTTTCACCTCAGCCATTTGATAGATTTTCTAGCCTGTGTGTTGTATATGTTATCTTTCGCTTGTTTCAATTTTGATTGTGAAATATAGTCTTGGCCCACTTTATTATATGTTGCAGGCGTATTGCACTTTGCCGTCTGCTTTCTGCCGAGCTCTGTCGGCTGGGTTTTTGCTAGTTTACTGGGCCATTCGAGCTACAGCATCTGATAATAACCGCTACGTTATTACTAAGTTAAGCGCAGAGGGCACGTTGTTGGCGAGACAAGCCAATCGTTGAGCAGGTGTAGGATAAGTATGTAATCTAGCCCAGTCGTTTACGTTCAACATTACAATCACTTGATTGGCTATATGTCGACCGCACGGTTACCCAATAAAATTTGGAAAGCGACGGGCTTGAGCGAATTACATATCTCTTACTGTGAACATAAATAGGGTGTAGTATCTTTGTTCTGTTGTTGAGTTCTGAAATGTTCTGAGAAAAAAAACTACTAAGTTGAAGTGAATGACATTATCATGAGGCAAATTATTTACATAAACCAAAAGTAACGTTCCAAAAAAATAAGTTTCTTGATTTTACATAATTTTATATTTTCCTTACGTTAGCTTGTTGAGCTCTTGCCTGTGCGCTCACGTATCTGCCGACATTATCAATGTCCCGAAGGGGCTTAAGGCGAGCTTCAAGAGAGCAGGAAAAGTGGCGACTGCTATATTCCATTTCGGCAATGTAATAGCAAAATGAAAAACTAACATAAACGTATGTTTACGCCCACAGAATTACTACGTTGTGCCCTAAAAAGCAACACCTCCTATCGATTTGTGTGTCTCCTCTAGATAATAGAATTCATATATGTATACACGGTAGATAACATGGAAACCTTCATCGGGCTTCCGTTGCACGTACAATAGACAATTTATTTTTCGTCCTTTCTGCGTTCTGACTTGCGCTAGAACTGACATTTGCCCGTTACCAATTACCTGTTTTGTAGTATCGCAGTATAGCACTACTGCGACGATTGAATAACTACGTAATAAACTATACTGGTGACGTTTTTCCCCATAGTTTCCTAGTTTTGGTAAATGAAAGCATTCTGTTCGATGTATGATCATTTCATCACGATGTTAACAGACCGCCGTGTGCGCGTATCGACGTCTGTATGACGGCCCGTGCTAGAGCTTCGCTACCGGCTCTGCCTGTGAGGACAACGATAGCGACAGACATTTAGTGCGAAAATGTCCACTCTTTCTATGAGAGGGAAAAGCGGATTGTACTGAAACTGGTGAAGTTGTTCTCTCCAATGTCAAGTAGTGTTACTTTTCATCAACCCCATGATTTCTCCTTCCGCGTTCAACGTTTGGGTTCGTAGTAGCTCAGCGGTTCGTGGACCGAGATCCATTAGGACCGTAAACTACGTGAAATGTAGGTAACAACCAGAACCCATTCTCCAAGGCGCGCAGTATACCTTAATAATTTCGTAATCGGCTTACTAATTTACGATAGAATTGTAGAAAAATAATTAAGTCATTACGGCTATGTATAAACAATCTAGTCGTTACGATTCGAATATAGGTCGACATGTCCGAGTGTCGCACATTGAAATGTCTAGCATGGCGGTGCATTCTTCGCTGTTAATTTTCTGCTGAAGACGATCGTCCTAGTGGTTAAATTTGCTACCAACTGTAGTACTGGCGTCTTGTAACTAAGTCAAAAAAAAGTTGGTAGAATAAAATAAAAAAAAAGAGCAAGTTTTCTTCTAATTCTTTGTGCTGATCCTACATTCCCCTGTTTGCGTATACCGTTCAGCCTAACCCCTACCATTCTCCCACAAATTCACCTGCTTCATCGTAATGAGCATCATCATTTCTGATGTTCGCCCTAACCCCCTGATCTTGCTCCTTCCCTCCCTTTCCTTCATCCCCCTCTCGTGTACTTCCTAATTACGCCCTCGTGTGTACATAGTCCCCATTCAGCTCTCGATTCTAGACCTGCTCTTCCATTTGCTCTAATTCCTGCCACTGTTCCGTGTCGTCTTTGGGATGTTTTTCAATTTTTTCACCATATCGTCTTCATTTCCATGGTCGTCTCCATCCATATCAGCATTGTTTTCACCAGCATCATCACCAGGCTTTCTCGTGCCTTCACGTCAGCCAACAACTAAATCCATACACTCGATGAGGCGGTGGCACAGCCGCGAATAATCCCCACTGTCTCCACTCAGCCGGCGCATTTTTAGCAGCATGTGGTCAAGCTCAAGCTCGACTTGGACAACCCCCTGGGGCTCGAACGCGATTAAACCTCGTTCTGAACGTGATAATACGAGATCGGCCGCCCGCTCCCCCAGCGCCCGTTGAATCTCTCCCAAACTTCCCTGCCTGCCCTGCTGTAGCGACAGCTGTATGCACAGCGAACCACTGGGCGTCTTCTGCAGCATATCAATTGGTGTGGCGCCGCCTATGTGCGCTGAGGCATGGCCACCCGCGGTATGGTCGTAGTCCATTATGTCTTCGTAGTCGTTTTCGGCACTGCCGCGCCTATAAACGGTCTGCGGTTCGAATAGATTGTCGTGTTCACAGATCGTCGGCAGGCCGCCTGCAGTAGCGGCGCCCCCCGACGTCGTCGGGGACGAGTCGTCAAGGGTCGTGCTATCTACCCATCGCGTTGGCGAGTAGAGCGCGCAGTCCTCGCCTTTCTCATCCGTGATGCTGATGTGCGGAATGTAACCAGAATTGCCCGGTGTGCCGAGCGGTGTCGAAAGTGGGGTTCCCAGTGGACCCCCGCCGCCGTTGCTGCTGTTGCTACTACCAGAGGAGCCGCTTGTAGCAGTTGCTTGTACGGCAGCCGCCATTGCTCCGGCCGACATCGCGGCGGCGCTAGACGGAGGAGGCATCATCATGGGACTGAGATCGGTGACGACTAGCTGGGGGATACGGACAGGTGGTGAAGGGGTCGAAGAACGTGATGACGGATCGTCAATGTTGCTGAACTGCAGTTGCAGCCGTTGGAGCTGCGAAAGAACTGTCTGCTGAGAAGCCAGACGGGCCAGTTGTGGGGAGAGAGGCGCATGCCCCGATGGAGTGTGCACTGGCGAGGAGGCAATTGAAGGAGGCGAGCTCATCGACAGGTTCAGGGCCCCGGTTTGTAATCTATGAGCGATTAGCGGAAAGAGAAGTGGCGGAAGATGGCGAAGACAATATGAAAGCGTATGGAAGAAAAACACAATGCAAGGATAGGTTAATAGATGAATTAGAACGACTATTATACGAACTCTGTATAATATTTCCTACTCACTTGCTTTAAGGGCGCCATATATTATTTATTAGTTTATGCCTTCGCAATCCGACTTGCTATTCAAAACTATCCCTAAACATATAATGTCCCCGATAATTTGGTATATATATATATATATATATATATATGGGTCGATTTATCGCTCAAACTTGAATGATTGGTGATAAAAAAAATTCGTTCAGTGGTTACTGACAAAAAAAAGAGATCATGGCAACAGTAGAATACACGTCGTTATATTTTTGTATACGACCAAGTGGGCTACTCAGTAGATTTACCTTTGCTGGTGTTGCGCTTGTTGTTGCATTTGTTGTACATGGATAGTATGCCTTCGCTGCACCTCAGCTCGTTCGCTATCGCTGAGTGTGGCCCCATGGTGCTTCTGCTGAAGCATCTGATGCTCCTGTTGCAACGCTTTCACCATGTGAGGTGTCGTGCCGCCAGGAGTCATTAGCGCTAACGGAGGCGGGCTCCCACCGCCTTCACTACACCGACGGGTAACTACGAATCATAGAGGTAACATCAATTTAAAAGCGTTACAAAACCTTATTCGGGAAGTTGGTGTCGGGTTATTACAACTCGGACGGTACTTATATAATTGGACAATTAAATCTATTGAAAAGATGCTCCAAAGGCAAGCAGAGTTGTTAACCACACTCATAGGGCAAGATGCGACCAAATTGGTATGCCCAAACAGCAATATTAAAGGGATACGTGTCCAGTGTCGGTAGTTTGTAATTACTATGAATGCATGTATAATATTGGAGACTGAACACCGAGAAGTGTCCTGAAATTGAAAAAAAAAATTGTTGTAATACCTACAAAACCATTTTCACAATGGTTTTTATAGGCATTGAAGCGCGCAGAGCCCTACCACATAGGCACTAGATCAGATCAGAGACACACGTAGAGGATCAGCTTTTGAAAAATAATCAATGAATGCTGAAGACCATGTAGCATGTCGCTATCATCGTTCATCTGTAGTTGAACATCGCCTACAATTCTCTTGGTCAAATCTTGACCTTCTCTTCTGAAGCGCACCCTTTCATTCGGCTGTAGGGTCCAATTCCACTGCGAGCCGATTCCGCTAGCCAAGTTCACGCGATAGACAGCGTCCTCAACGAGCAGTATCAATGTCGATCAATCGAATTACGTAACTGTGTATCTATGAAATATTGTGATCCGATATATACTCACGATGATGACTTTGCTGTTGTTTATCAAGCAGCGCAATGAGGCCACTACGACGTTGTCGTCCGCCGGACATCATCTGATTGCGAAACCAAGCCGAAGCTCCCGCACCACCCGCTGCTTCGGCCATGCCTGCTACGGCCGCAGCTTCCCGCTCCCGGGCGCGCAGTAAACGCCGTGGACTCAGCTCAACATCGTGTGAAGGACCGGCTTCATCGCGGTTTCGGCGAGGCTGTAGTTAAGCAGTCGCAATAGCGACAGGGGCGGGCGTGGGTAGTGGCGGTGGTGGCAATCACAACAGCAGCAGTAGAAGCACCAATTTCGACCACAAACACGCAGTGTCCGCAAAAACGGTCAGGTTGACAACGCAGAACAAACCCCAACAGCATACGAGGGAATTGGTCCGTGTTCGAAGCCAGCATTAACACAATGGTTGATGGGTATGATAAATGAAACAGCCGTCCGTCACCGGGGCGACCGCCACCGATGAGAGACGTGGATGAGAAAAGCATGAATAGATTTATGAAGTGCAACAACAACGCAGAAACAGGCCGCCGATAAATAGTGTCCGCCGCCAAAAGCAGTACAGGGTTTGAGGTAGAGGACACCATTAGGCATTGGTAACAGAAAGAAGATTAACATCAGCAGGAAGGAAAGGACAAGGAAGATAAAACAGAAGAAGGAAAAAGAAAGAAGTACAAAACCGTGGAAACATTTTTGTTAGAACTCTGTCCATGAATAATCATTATTCAGTACGTAGGTATGACTTGATAAATGGGCGGAAAGAAAGAGTATGCAGGTCAAAGTTGATACTTACTCAGATACCGCTGTGAGTAGCAAAGATCAACGATGTTAGGTAAATGAGAATAATTTCGAAAATCTGTAAGATCGAGCTATGCTTTAAAATTCTGTAGAAATTTCTATTACCGGTAATTTTGTCAAGCATTATAGGCATAGAGTAGATGTTACGTAGTATCTTCTATACACGCAAAATCACCTTCATTATCGAGATTATCTTTTAGATTTACGTTTTATGGATTATTCGATAGAACAGCACAACTATAGTTTTGTGGTTATTAAGCATTGTTTGGAATATTACGAATGTTTCCATAATGCTGCTTACCATTAAAAGCGATTGGAAATCTATTAAATTGCTGTTTGACACATCATTTCCTCGCACCCGCTTTTTTTCTCCCTAGTTCTATATATTCGCCTATATATAGGTTTATAAGCAGTCATACTGGAAAACATAGAAATTTTTCGCGACAATAAAAGACGAACATTGACAAAATGGCTATGGTATTCATGTTAAAACATTGATTGTAGCCGTGTCTGTAAATATCTTTCCAATACTCACAGATAGATCGCGTTGTTGTGGACTAAGTGTCCGGTACGGCGGCTGACTATATCCCCCGAGGGAGGGCCCCGCTTGAGTTTGCTGCTGCTGTTGCTGCTGCTGCTGCTGCTGAAGATGTTGGGGCTGTCCATAGTTTGTGTAGTTATAGTTGAAATAGTGGTCAAAGCGATTGTGATAGTGCACGCTGATATTAGCGCCCCCGTCCGATGCACGGCGGAAGATACCCTGCCCCGCCGCTGTCGAACCAAATGCGCCAGGTGGCTTCAGCAAATGCTGATCCTTAACACTGAAGTTCTGCGGAGACTCGTTCTGTACAAGGGGCAAATTGGCCGGCAGGTTCGTGTGGGGTAGCGCTGATATCGGCAATGGTACCTACCGAAGCCCCAGCGTTTACGATGACGACAACGATAACAGCAATCACGATGGCAATAATAACAAAAAACAGGACCGACAGATAAACGGAGAGAACCAATCGACACACAGATATCGATTGAATAAGTATCAATTAGAGATCCTCAAAGATATATGGCGACGTAACGATGGGGTAAAGCATAAGAAGGGTGACTCATCATAGAGGTAACGGTAACAACGAGAGTGAACGACGGATAGACGACCATTTAGACGCAGGCAAATTATTAAGGCGTTAATTTTCAATGGAGCTAATGGACACCGATGCTGGTTAATAAACATCGAAATCTATATGAGGTAATGACACAATTTTACATATTTCAAAAACAATGCAATATAACAGGCAGAAACCTAAAACAAACCATAAATCTGTTTCAACATGTAGCAATGCATTGGGCATTTTTAACGAAATTTCATTTAATTAATATTTCCTCAAGCAAATAACCAATTATTACATGTTCACCTTAGGAGAAACGATACGGCGCTTGAGAAACAGTACGATATACTGACGAATAGGCTTGGATTGGAAATCACTTCGTTAGTAACACAGAACGCAGAAATTAACATCGGGGCTACTCTTACCTTTCTCACGTACCATATATAATTCACTCGAGTTAGTGCCTTTGGGAGTAAAAAACAAGAAGCAAAAAAACATGTACACAGTTCGAACACGATCCGTATTCAAAAACGTATCCAAAAAATTAGATGGAAGGAAACGAGCTTTTGGCAACTTGATTGTAACTCTGCGAGGCAGGCAATGTTGCGCTCTATACTGCATCGTACGTCGTTAGGATGACACTGGCGGTGTCGACAGCTGGGCTGTATATTATGCAAATACAATACACGAAAATAATACGACAGGAAAATAGGACAAATTAAAACCAGGATGAGAAATCCATTTGACGTTGTTCGGATCGGTAAGGCTTACCCTGAGTATGGGAGGCGTTGGCCCCTGTCGGGCATCTTCTTCTGGTCCCACGGTGTGACGTCGGATCACCTGGTACATGTCCTTAGGCCCGTTCGACCCGTCCTCGTCTGTGTCCTGCTCCGAATTCTCACCAAACTGTGCGCGAAGTAGAGGAATTAGAAGGAACTTATTATAACCCATGGCTATGATACACACGTTCGGCGCAAATTCTTTTTAGGGCAGCTATGATCGAACAGTTTCGATCAAAATATCTTCCGAAAGCCAGCCATTCTGTAAAGGCGCCGTTGCCCTCAAGAAGGATAACTGTTAATAATAATAATAATTTTTATTGCGTTTGTTTTTTTACGCTTAAGAAACAAAATTAAAAGGAAGTTAACCGGCATGAGCTAATTTCGAATTTCAAAGTGCGTACACAAATATAAAAATTCTCATCTGAGTGGATAGATACTCCTGCAGTCCCGAAGCGACGAGCAGTAGACAACAAGTATCATTTGAATAAAACTGATAATACGTCCACACTTTCGTCACACAATTTCAGGCATGCTCAACTGAAATTGTTTTTATGCGGTTTACTTTTTCAAGCGACGACTCGCTGTGATTTAGGACATCCTTTGTCCAGTCCAATACCCGATCGTGAGGTCCAACTGGGGGCGGGCCTGCAAGACCTGGCGACGCGCTGGGGGTAGTTGAACCCAACGGGCTTGAATTCGAATTTGAGTTGGAGCCCGCACTGTCGTTACTGAGTGAAGGCGGCGAAATAGGGGGGCGCTCAACTGAAACGCAAATACGATTAAGTACATGATAATCGATAAGGATAATAATAATTACTAATAGTAGTAACTAACGATAATAATACGTTGCTCTCTGAGAAAGGGATGACCGAGTATCCAATCCTGTTTCCTGTGCGCTAAGCGGCAACAGCAACCAGTAGTCTGCGCATCGTAACATTGAAACACAACAGAAAGTACGATTCTTAAGCACTCGTGTTCTTTACGTAAACTCCCTTGCCATTGCGAACTCAGACATGCTTACAAATACTAAATGACAAATTTAATTTAGAAAAGTGGCTAGTGAGTGCAAAAGGTAGTCAGCTTTCATATAACCCACAGGCAACGGGACGCCTTTGACGAAGTCAGCTTTACATACAGATCGCATAGAGACTGGCAAAACAACTTATATATATATAGAGCGTAGGCCAATCGAAAAGAGCATGCTAATGTAATACGAACGGAATCTATACAGAAATACGATGGTGGAAAATTTTAAATCGATCATCATGATAATCGCCGGACGTTGGGGGTTTTCGTGTTGAAACCGCAACGATCTTTTCCACAATTCGTCATTTGCCAGGGATACAAAGTTGGGCATTTAGACCTCCATTGACGCGACGCACTGCTCCCGGGACACACGAAGTCAACTAGCGACAGTATGTCATAGTTTTCAGCGTAACTACCCAAATTATACTACAACATACCAACTCCTGTGGTAATACTCGATTTTCTCTGGTGGGAGGCAACCACAGGAAGAAGGGTTTGCATTGGTTCCATGCGGAGCTTTTCTTTGAGCAGGTGGAAGATTGCCGCGTAGTTATCAAAGCGATTTTCCTGGTAACGCAAAAGAACAAAAAAAGAAATATTCTATTTGTCATCATTGTTATTGTTATCTCTACTGATATTGCAATTTTTGGGATTGTGCCACCGTTGAGAAATCATGCCACGATTAATAACATCAAAGCGTCGACCTGTAAATGTAGGCGTCTCGCCATCGAGCATTGATCTAACGTTGGCACTTGTGATTTATTGTGTTGGCACTATGTGTTTCGAGGTAGAACCCTTCCGAATTTTTCGAGAAGGACGTCCAAGTAACTCTATATCACACAAAAACCAGGCATAGTTAGTCAAAGTAGAATGTTCCGACTTTCACGTCTGGAGTTTCACGCCATCAGACGACGGAGTATGCCTACGTCCGGATTCGAATCTAGACGGTTACCTGTCCATAGGTTCAATAGCAAACACGTTACCATTGCACTATGGCGAGAACTTATTTATTTGAAACAATGAAAGACTTCCTCTTAGATCCGATTATCGAATCCAATCGCCTCATCCAATTGAAATATGCTCGCTGCAAACATCAAACAAAAAGCAATAGCCAAAGAAGCGACTCCCTTTCCAAAGCTTTGATTTTGCTGGGCGCCCTAATCCCGTCCTAAGTCTCTTGGCCCAAAACTTTAGTTTACTACGTTTCACTCGCTTTTATATTCTCGTATAACAACAGCATGATGAACATGTACTGAAAATGAAGAGGACCAGGGAACGCTAAATAAAACCAGTATCCGCCATACGAACCCAGCGTCACATAGTTCCTCCGTTAGAGCTCTGCTCTTTAGGATTCTACTTTGTCTCAACGCAACGGGGGCTGTTCAGTTCGAGTCTAATTTCTCAACTGTCAGATCTTCGCGTCAAGTGAAAGACGGTACAAGACGAGAGTTGTGCTGCCGTGAGCCATTAAAGCCCAAGCTAGATTCGGCCAGTTTTAAAACACTGGACATTGGACAATAGGCAAATAACAGAAAAATTCCTACTGGCATAGAAGATTGTTCTTTACGTGGCGATGAGACCTGAGTGCCTCCCAATGGTCTCATAAGAGCTGTTTTTGCTACTGATGAATAACTTCATCAGTAGCAAAAACAGCTCTTATAAGTTCATTTTTGTGGGAATAGTTACCTAATACCACTTTTATCGGCACCCTGATCGCCAGCCACATTAATTGTATACCCTGTGTGAACTCCCACTCATACCATTGCCACAGATAGTAGGTTACATCCCTTAATTCAGTCTCGTTGCTTTTCGTTGAGCATCACCAGCTAACAACTAGGATGTTATAACATTATACCATATGTAAATCTCGAGATTTTCCGAGCTGGCGTAAGCGAAGGCCTCAACCTTAGAGCGGTCCTAGCCTCATAGCCCGATCCACTGCACTCAACCACTTCTGTTTTCCTAAGCTAGCGACCTGGGAAACGCCCAGCAGGCCTAAGCTAGTCGTTGAGTAACGATAACAGGCCCAGTTGGGAGGGGTCGTTGAACAACTTTATAAATATTACAGTCTTATTCGAGTATTTATTACGTCCGAAAGATTAATATTTATTGCCATACAGCAAAATGTCGTAAACTATGAACAAGTTCATAATAAGTCTCTCCGGATATCATTAGATGATGTAGAACATGGCCATGCAGTCAGTCCTGACTAGGCTATTGCATCGGTCCGATTTAAGTATAGGTCATACACCATTTATGACGGCATATTAGATCTGCTGGATCTCTATATGACCAGATATTTTAATCATTCGTCAATATACCCTACATGTTTTTCAAAAGGGCTCAAAAGGGGTTTAAAAAAAAATGTTAGTCAACCCGTTATCAAACGTTCCGACATATGCAATATATGGATGGCACTTTTGTCACAACTGCCTAGCAAAGGTAGCCAGATATGAATTCCATCTTTTAGACTTTTGATATTTTCGACAAGTTGCACTTCTAGGATCTATGGTTGAAAATCTGTCGCTGTAGCATTTGATGTTTTATAAAAATATCTGGTACGCCAACGGTGTAAGGTCTTCACCGAGAAAAAAGTTATTACTTCAACATGCGAGCCAACGAACAGTTTGTGATGTGTATGTCCGTCGAAATAATAACATCAATCAATAAGTTCCTCGAACGCAAGTCTTATTTTGTCTCACAAGTTAACGGCTGGAAGTTCGGAACTGATTCACATGTAAATTTAAAATGAACTTTGCAGAAGCCGCCACGGAATCTCTAAGTTTATTAGTTGTGGCCCTCTGACGAGTGCGTCCTCTTTCATAACAGGTTAACCTATATTTCTATGTCCGATAAATATCTACGGATAGAGATCTATGTGAACAATAAATAAGAACCCATCGCTGTTATTGGCGGCCTGCGTTATATATAAAACAACATCGCATGCTCTGCCCTAATCCGGTCGGTATTTATCTAATAAAAGTGGAAATTGAAAATCTGCGAGCCAGAAGCGGGTAGGGTTTACAAGAAAAGTCTTCCTTAGAACCAAAGGAAGTTCAGTTTATTACGCGACAGCGTTGGAGAAAGGTTTCCCGAAATAAAAAACGTTTCTCCTTCGAGAGCCGAAAACTCCGTACAGTCGTGGAGGTATCAGGCCGAAACGGGGAGACCATGGCTAGATGTCTACATTACAGAAAGGATTTACTTTATGCTAGCGAGCGCTTTTAGGTGCTTGCCTTTTCCATGCACTCTAACAATAGAAAAACCTGGCACGAGAATAAAGAGGCAGTCATAAAGCTACCAGCGGATCCAGCCAATCAGGAAGGCGCCTAGTAAATTTGTCTCTACCATACAGGACCGTAATAGGGATCATTTATCAGCAGTTCGATCTAGACGGGTGGTTGTTCGCCCTGGACTGCGCAAAGGCAGACAAATACACCGATTTGACTAACCGACACCAATTTATGCCGATCGGCCTAGAAACACTGGGCCTACTCAGTGGGAGGAATGACAGGCAATAGCCCGTATCCTTGCCAAGGGCACAAAATAAATCATTCGAGACGTTTGAACGAAAGGACGCCTTCAATGGCCTCTACTATGGGTTGTACTGAGGGGTGTTTCGATAGATGGGGTAGCAAAATGAACTAGTGCTTCCGTTAAACCCTAACAGTGGGCTTAAAGCAATTAAGCCGCAATTGTAATCTAATTAGTATCAAGATAACTTGATAATAAAAACGAATCCTTCTATTTAAAGTATTGCGTTTTAATTCTATTGTATTATGTGGACGAAAGCGGAATAGTATGGGTAGAAGGTGTTTGTTTAAAGCTAGATAGACGGAGCTACGCTACGCTTTAACGTCAGCAAAATACCCTTTCCTCTATTTGCTAATAATAGCCTCACCTAAAGGTTATTGGTCGAGCTGCTCTGCCTTCAAGCGCAGGGAGTATTATACACAATTTGTGTTTTAAATAGACCACAATAATAGATGTTACCTTAACCCCAAAGAATATCGTTCCCTCTCGCAGCACAGGCACGCTATGGAAGTCGCGTTTGCCAAGGGCGCCACGGTTTGAAAAATGTGAACTGTGTACAGCCTCCAAATAAACAGGTAGAAGCGAATACAGAAGGATCTGTATAGGTACTAAACTCTGTTTTCAGACCCAATACAAAATGTTCTACATCTCTAAGAAAGAGCAAAGTCTAATTTGGAAACAACGTTTTCAATTATTCCTTGAAAATCAACAGGATTACGGTTTCTTTAGCCGTATAGTGTACTTCGAAGCTAATTCTCTTAAATCCACATAAATAACAGTAAATTTAAGATAGTGCGAGATTGGACTATTTACTTTTTTCGTGTCCTTCGTGCCACCGGATCGGCTTTTATATTCTCAACAGTCAAATATTACATTTAGGATATCTCACTATAAACTCTTTCTCTTACCAACTTCATTTACAAACCCACGCTCGATGACACGCATATAATTCGGTTTTGGCCAGCATTAGCCTATGCAAGAAGGCGACTGGACTCTAATAAGACCAGAGCGTCTGGGTCTCATAACAAAACTGAACTCGGCGAACCAATAGCGTATCTTTATGGAAGAGTTTTTTTTTGTTTTTTTTTTAGTAAACACATCCAGTTTCAATTTCGAGTTAATTGATTGTATGGCGGTTCGAGAGCGTTGGACTCGCTCAACATGGAACATAAAGCCTGACTGGAGTAAGACAAAAGCCTGGTTTTTCTGAAGTAACCTTTTGTAGTTTTCACATTACTAGCTCAATATACTAGATCGGAGCAGGCCATAGGCAGTCTTCTTTATTGATTACAGTATCGTATCGCCTATCAGTCTCGTCCCTGTGTACGCCAATAGTGCGACCAAGGAAATGTTACACTATGGTAAGCCATATACTCATGATTTACAATGAACAACCCGTTCTAAAACAACTTATCTTTTTAACGCCTTTTCTCTTTTTGATATTGTTGATAACGTTTACCAAAGATGAATCGTAATGGATTTACTGCTAAAGATAGCAACGTCTGACGGGTAACTAGCCATTTTCTTCACTTATCCCCCTGTGTAGGGGGTTCTACTATTTGCGGATCTATATAGAACGATAAATATTATATTATTTAATGGCAAATAACTGTTCCGTTTTAGATTATTAGACTTTTTAGGTTGAAATTCTCCATTATTATGGTACTAACTGAAATGTATTAGCATTTAGTAGTCTACAAAGTTTCTCTAATTGTAAAGAAATGCCTGTAAATTTTTTTTTCTTTTTTATTCCGAGAAGAAGCTTCTTTCTATCTATGTCACCTTTTTTAGTCAAAATGGACTCAGGCTTCAGCCGTCTTCTGCAATCAAGCTTCATTCTGTGGAGTTCCTGACTCCACTTTTGCTTGCTTCACTGGTATCTTTTCCCATCAAGTGCCTAAGTTCTGCTTCTACATGACTCAGCCTAAAAGCGAGTCGCGGACGCTATAGGAGGCACGCCTGCTGCTGTTCTGTTTCGAGCCTTATTCTAACCCTACTGCTGCTACTGATGTTCGCCTAGTTAAAGGTCGTCGTTGCTCATGTTGACTGTCCTCAGTTTGGTTCGACGATACCGCGAATAAGAGAGACAACGTTATAATTTTCTTTATGTGAAAGAGCTACGAGATTTCTGGTGGCTGACGGGACTTAAGGAAACAGATCGCGAGGATGGGGCATGAGTTGGGTCTCGAGCAAATAAGTCTTTTTCGGCGGAAACATTTCAGCGCCCTTAGCGCCCCATCGCCCACTGGAGACACCGCGACGGAAGAGAGGGTTTTATTAGAGTAGTGCTAGTAGGGCGTCCTTGAAACTTTTCTCTATCTCCAAATTGGGGAATCAGACGTTATAGATCGGGAATATTGTACGCAAAATGGTTACGAAGCATAGTCAGCTTGCTCAGGAACACATGCATGAGGAAGGAGGTACGCTGTGTAGAAGAGCTTGTACGTAGAACAGACCAGCTTGCTTTAGACGTTATTAAAAGCGGCCAGACAGAAGAAGCAAAAAAGCAGAAATAAAAAACTATGGTTTGTCTCAGTAAATTAACATATGCCTCGCTGTTCCAGCTCATGCGGTGTTTAACACTTTCCTATTTTTCCTTCGACTAAAAAAACTTGACCGTAAAAAATCCGGGTAATACGGATAATGGCGTCCGCATGGCTCATCTAAGCTGAGTTGCCTAGGAGTTATTTCAATAACTGCTACCTGGTAGCAGAAGCATCTACAGTGACAGCTTCTCAAATCATCCAATATGTCTTTCTTCAATCGATTGCCTTCGTCGTTTCTATAGGAACTAACCGGCACGAAGAGGCGTATGGTTCCATAATTTGCGAGAATGTGAAAACGCCTCGTCCTGTGCATGGAAACCCTTACACAGAGAGCATCACTAAGTAAGCGTCTAAAAGCGCCTTATTTGCACTTACCCTCACGGAGGTGACAATATCGTCCCTGGTCGAATTGGGTATCTGGAGCATGTGCTCGATGATCAACTCGTTTTCCTCGTCGGACGAAGCGCTGCCGTTGTCTGAGCTGACTGAATTTTGCGTTTCGAGAAGTGGAGACGGCGGCCGCGATCCTTGCGGGCCCCGCATCCAACGATGCAACAAGATCTGGTCTGTGGTATAGCGGCGCTCGGGCTCGATAACCAGCATATGTCGAATAAGCTCCTCGCAGTCTAATCCGATGAAGGAGCAAGCGGCGAACAAGGGAAAAGAGCAGCCGAACACCAAAGTTTCAGTTCGAAAGGCAACATCGAAACAGACACAAGGAGAATATATACAAAGCAGAAAGGCACAACATATTTAGTATGATAAGCCACATCTCATATAATCTTTAACAATGATATATAGTCGCAAATGTACGCTGTGCGAGAATAAATTCTTTTTGGTCCAGACAAGGAAAGACATCCTAATTATATTTAATCAGCCGGACCATTTCGATAGTGTATTTTATTATATAGCAATTATGTGTTGAGTTCAGATGCTTAGATTAGCTCAGACGCTCACAGATTATTCAGCTACCGCTTGAGGTGACGTCCTTTACATAGTTCAGGATATATTTTTCAAGAGGAACGCATATAGTCGAAGGAGTTAAATATGACCATTACTGCTGTGACATTTAAACCAACTTCGACCCAGACTTTTGCCCTATTTAAAGTAGACCCGAACTTTTTTGCTTACAAAATGTTCTAATACAGCCCCTATAGCCCAGGTTAAAGGCACGGGCATTTCTCGTCTGAATCAGCACAATTTTGGCGGGTGCTCTGAACTCTAGCTAATACGCAGGTAGTAATCACCGTTCTCCACCACAGAAGACTAATTAGGAACGGCGATCCAGGAACTCTGCGGCACAAAAGACCCATAACACAGCAGTGGAGTAGCCTGCTTGCGAAGAAAAATCTACAGTTTGAGCAATAGACATAAGCTAAAGCTAAAATTCTTCGTCACGGGAATCAATATTATATTTCGACGAAAATAGGTCACGTAGGTAGCCCTTAAGGTTTCGGTGAAAAATCCAAATGTTTATATAAAATTTTTCTCTAAGTATATGGTTACTGCCGTCAAAAAATCGAATTTAGGTGCAGTCTGTGATCGTACTCGTATTCCAGTTATTCTGCTTATGAATCATTCGCTCATTGCTTTAAAATCCGCAGACCACAATGTGATACGGTTAAGAGTGTTTCTTTAAGCCATACAGTAACACACACACAAGTTCACAATTGTTTGCCAACAATATTTGTCAAAAAGAAACACAAATAGATACCCATTTGAAACGGTAAACTTGTATACATATCTCCGTGGGTGTGTGTTATGGAATACGTTAGATAAAAAGTATTAAAAACGGAGTGTTTTACATTCAGAGCTGATGTTATTTTTGTTCGGCGTTTTTTATACGTATTTAATACCGTACAGTGTGTATATATCGAAATGAAAGGGACAACACAGCCAGTGTAAAGGGAAAAACTATGGAAAAGCTTTGTCGATTTGAAAAGCTATCGGAAAAAAACATTCAATGACTCGCCAGCGTGTGCATTTTTTCTTGTGTTTTTTTTTTCAAAGCAGTTTTCAGAAGGGTTCCCGGGTGGTGTAAAGGGTAAAGGTAAAATCAAGTAGCTAGACGCTGGCAGGGAGCCGTTACCCGAGACGATTAAATCACTGACTCATATAATCCATTGAGATAATACAATTCTAACTATACGCAAAGTCGATCATGTTAGCACCAAACGAATATTCCGATTTAGCATTTTTACTTTTCATTCATTTTACAACTGAAAGTTAGAGACTAAAGGAAGTTCTCACCAGACGTGTGGTCTCTGACGCGTTATGTTACGGCGAACACGGTTATCTTACTACAAAAAAGAATTTCTATTTCTTTTGAAAAAAGACATATTTCGTAACGGTGATGCCAGCAGAATTATCCGACACTGAATCTGCGACAGACCGTACGACTAATTTAGTAGGCGTAAGCGAACGTTAGCTCGAGTTCTGTTGATGTAACGCCGTCAGACGTTCTCGGAGTTCTCTGCCGACACCGCCGCAACGTGTACGCCGAAATCGGCCACTTCATTCCCACGACTTCTACGACGTAATGTGTATTTTCAAAGGAAACACTACCCACAAACACTCACGTATTTCATTTCTTTATTACGTCACATTTTGTCTAGTTCTGGCTGTTGTAACAGCTAAAAGGCACAGGCAAAAATGATACAGCCCCGTAATTAGTACTTGTGTAAACGAGTTCACAACGTTTTACGTTGGGATTAGTGGACCTAACATGGATTAACGGTGAAGCCCTGTGTCTACTCTTAATTTGCATGCCCAAATGAGCTGACATCGCCGGTGTAATAACAAGGTATTGCTTGATTTATAACCTGATTACCCCTTCGTCTCTTCATTTCCTTCACTGTTCCCTATTTGACCGCACATATTTTTGTCATATCGATTGACAGTTGTATGTAGTTTCTGATTAAAGTATTAGTTATCGTTCCGCTTGTTCGTGTTCTAGCTATCAGCATTAAATATAATTCATGTTAGTTGGGCAGCCATGATCGTTAATTTGGGTCGGAGCAAGATCACTAGGAAGTCCTAAGGAACAAAAATGCTATCAGTTCTTTTGCCCGGCTGCGAGCAACATACCTTTCAAAAGTCCGCTTTACACTGTCTGGCTGGGCAGTCAAGTTTCTATCTAGTTTGACGGTAACGTTTAATTAGATCGTCATATAAGATGTCTGAATGGGGCTCGTGTAACGATCCGAATAGCGAAGCGACCTAGTCAATCACCACGGCAGACGATTTATCAGCAACATATACTTCGCATGGTTAAAAGACTCCACAAGCACATGCACCTATCGTAAAAACGCCACTTCCCCCTATTTGGGCCAATGTAAAGTGCAGAAACCGACTGGACATTATGATGACGAAGGAAAAGTATACTCGAATAGATAACCAGACAACGAAATGCAACGAATGCGTATCAGCTATTGCCGCTGCCGTTGCTACCTTACATCTCTAGGAACCTAAGCCATGTGGAAACTTGAGGTCGGCGTTACATTCCAACGTAACAACCTACGAACAGGATTAACGACCGGCTGAAGTAAGGTGGATTTTGAGGATATAGAAATGCGCAGATGAGGGTATATATTAACGCCAGAGAAACGAAATGGTGCGCTTGATGCGTTAACGTGGCCAATATTTAGCGCAGATCGTTTTTGCCGTTAATATTCAGTCAATTTCCAGCCGGTGGGCTCCAAGAGCTTAATAACTCGCCAATGGCCCGACGCAGCTGTTGCTCTGCACACGTCATAAGCTACGCATGTGAGAAGAATGAGTAAAAGAGATCTTACATAGAGGCAATGTCTAAGCTAAATGCTACGTCTGGAATAGCTGACAAGTCGCTGGTACGAGTCTGCCGCCATATTTAAGGGCGGCGAAAAACACGTGCCTTAACAGAAAATAACTAAGCGTTGAACGTTGTACCATAGCCGATTCCACACAAATTTAGATCGGTAGGCAGTGCTGAATGGATCTTAGAACTTAAGTGTCGTTTTAAAAAATGTGAAAATATAACACCGTCATTATTGCAATGGTTGATATACATGAATCAGTTTCCTGCATACCCATCTCGTACGTATTGCTTGGCAGTTGTGTTTAACACCAGGTAATCGGGCTTTCATTGGTGTGTAAAAAAATGACTGATTTAGAGGATCATATTTGGTCGCTTGGGTACTGGACCATGTTCGATTGTATTCATGAGAGTCCTTGCTGGTATAATAACATTTTTATAACGAAATCCAACAGCCAAACGTTGGACAAGCCCGTCGGCCTTCAGCGTCCGTCCGCCCTACACAGATACAACCGATCAGCAAAATAGGCCAAAATATTTTTGAAGAAAATGCTTCGAGGGTACAAAACTTAAAGGGCAGATTATGCCACCGCTACACCTAGAATATGTTACAATGGAACCAAATACAGTACAACTGCTTTCTTCGGGAATAATAATAATTTCCGATCGTTCTACCAGCCCGTTGCTATTATGGGTTGATATGTGATCAATTCCGATCTAAATATAATAATCCATCATTGAATCTCTTCCCTAAATATCGCTAGATTTACTTGTTAATATTCATACGTACACGTTAAGAATCATGCCACGCTGTGTTATAAAGATCTTTTTTTTCTCAATGTTCCATGTCATGTTATAATTTTTAAAATATAGAAATATAGACCCAGAACCCAGACGCCATATATATATATGGCTATATAGCTTTATGCTCTTTTAACATCGGGTTGCTTTCGGCTACACTTGACACACATCGCACTGATCAGGTCTCTTCGCTGTTTTAACTTGAGCGTTTTTTTCCAAGTAATCAGTATGCTCTGACCGGTAGCCATGTTTTATGGAAGCGATTGCATTGAGAAAGTGTGCAGATACATTACCCAGGAAAATCCTGCGAGCATATTTGGGAAAGCGGTAGTTGAAGACCCTCTAGATGCCTGAATTGGCGGAGTGATTTTTTCTCCAATTGGGTTTAATTTGGGTTAGGGAGGCTTAAATAAAGGCGAAGGGGAATATGTAATAATAAGTATGCTCAATAATTTGCCTATAAATATAAAATAAGTGTTAAAAAAAATAGCTGATTTATGGTTTAATAAACCTACTTGTTCTAGTTGAATGAAGCAGGTGGACGGAGAATCGTCGTGAACACGGGGTCTGGCGGGCAAATCGGATCTGACACATGTAGCTGACAGCTCTTGTAAATTCTGGACCCCCTTTAGCATTTCTAAGATACCACCCGTTTCTATCGGGTAGAAAAGGTACGTGAGAATTTTGGATTTGTATTTACCAACACCATTTCACATTGATTGTATTTGCTATTATCTATTGTGGAAAAATAACTAATCTTACTAATCTACTTAGTACTGTCAAATACTACTGAAAGGAAAGTCGTATAGGAGAAGCTGTATGTATTTCTTGAAGGTAAAAAAAAAAAAGCCTAGCTCAGCCCGTTTCTCTAGACTTCGACAAACGTGAATAAATTACTGAAAACGATACTGGTCGTATAATTAGTTTGAATTAATAATGTTTGTACGATTGCTTAAGCGGACGTCGATAATTACGCACTCGGAAGGCAATAATCTGCGCCAGCATAGACGACGATCGGGTTGGTTCGACCTA